CAATTATGTTAGAAAAATAAATAGTAAATAGAAAAGTAGATGTTGAGAAGAACAAAATTGGGTGATTGGATATCCCCATTTATTCTAATCATAACAAAAATACAAAAAACTAAATATTAAATATTGATTAAATAATTTTAAACAAATGATTAAATTTTTCTGAAAATCCTATTAAAGGAAATGAATAGTCCAAAATCTTCAAGCAAATAGCAAAAATTTACAAAACTTTATTACCTCAGAAATATCAATAATATGAACTGACCAAGATAGGAATCGAGAGTGCACCTTTTATAAAAAAAAACTGAACTCTTTCATCAAGATAACTTCTTAACTATGAAAAAAAGCATTCAGGAAAGCCAATACATCTTCATTTAAAGATGAGATTAATTTATTAGTGTTTGTATTTTGAGAATGATTTCCGAAGTGGAAACTGAAACGTCAATAACCTTCAATTGTGGCTTATTTACATTAAAATAGTAATTACTTTAAAGATGAGCAAAAAATGGATTACTAAGTATGTCAAATGACTGATTAAAGAAGAATCACTTTCCATGTTTTTATGAAGATTATTTATGAGGAAGACAATAGTAAGAAAAAACAAGCTCAGCAAGCTGGTACAGTGTGCCAGAATCCTGGAATGGATATTATAAGTGAATGGAAAATACAGCGAAAAATAATAGTGGTAGCATGCAAAGTGCTTTTTTTTAATTTTTAAATGGGCCTAACATATGAATAACATTTAACAAATTTCAGCAGCACTTTTTGCAACAATTTAATTGATTTATCAGTAAAATAAAACATAACTGATAGATTGAAGTATTATTAGAAAGATGCTAATTTTGATAAATTCTAAAATATTTCAACAATCTATTGTAAAATAAGTTATCAACCAATTATCATACCTTTGTTTGATAATTATGATTATTAAATAAATCATATGACTCATATATTATAATATATACTTGGAGAAAAAAAGCTATATTGATATTCGTCAAAATAATTCCACTACATTATAAATTAATAAAACTAGATTTAGTAATGATAATTGAGAAATTTGATAGGACTGAGGAAAATAATGATGTGCACAACTGAGCATTCGTGAAGTAGATTTGTTGAGTCCTCTAATGGCTATTACATGGCTATAGAAAAATCATAAAAATGTGAAATGGAAATGAAACAGAATAAAATGAAATACAGATTATACAAATATGTTATGATATGCAACATAAGTACTTAAGATATGTTAAGAAGATTAGCATAACAATCATTTGTATGATGAAGAAAGGGTAATGTAATTTTCAAACATTTAAAACATGAGTTCAGATGTTAAACGTGAATATTAGCAGATGAACAAGAAAATCTACAAACTGACATTAATAAAATACTAGAAATATGTTAAAATTTCTATGAACATTTATACAAAAACAATCCTCATTTTATTTGGACGTATTTTTACAAAACTTAACAATAAAAATCATGGATATTTATTATTTTTTCCTTAGGCTTGATACAATTAAGAGCTTAGGCACAAAATTTTGGGCCATTGCTTTTTAAATGCATTACTTTTTTTCGAATCTGGTGTGATTTTTAATTTCAATATATCTCATTAAAATTTTACTAACTTTACTTTACTTAATCAGTAGACCCATTTGTACCTTTCGATGTTGGGCCGTTTATAATAAAATTCATTAAATTACAATACTTTACAATCTTCCGAGGTGTCCTAGATCTTAACGAACTTTCTTCATTCCTTCCTATTGGATGCCATCTGTGTTGCTTCTTGCCAAGTCTTACCCTTACTCTGCAGTATCTGCGAGATGACACTGTTCCATTCTTTAATGGCTCTTCCTCTTCTGTTCTTCCCTCTTGGTTTGGAGTCCCACACTCTTTAGAATCCACTTTAGATGTCTGAACCATGCCAATTTTTTCTCCTTGATTGAGTCGAGTATCAGTTTGATTTTGAGTCTGCATTCTGCTCTGATGCCTTTTGTTTAATATCCAATTTTCTGCTACATATGTCACTGTAGGTCTATATATTGTTTTGTATATTGTCATCTTGGTCTTTGTTGATATTTCTTTGTTATTAAGGAATCTATTGTATTAAAAACTGCTTCTAAAACAGGTGCAGGGGTAGACGAAATTGATGGAAAAGCTTTGAAACATGTTGCCACTTATATAGCTTTACCACTATCTTATCTCATAAATGAATCATTTACATGCGGAATATTTCCAGATATAAAGGAATCGAAAGGAATCCCTATTTTTAAAAATAAAGTATCTGCAACGGATATTGCAAACTATAGGCTGATTTGTGTGTCAAGTCAGTTCTCTAAAATATTTGAAGCAGCCTATGCAAATAGATTAACATATTATTTAGAACATTTTAAAATTCTTCCTGTTATTCAAAACGGGTTTAGAAAAAAGAAATCTACAAATACTGCTATTTCTGACTGTCTTCAATTTATTTATAAAGCATTAAATGATAAATTAAATGTGTTGGGTCTTTTTTATAACCTTAGTCATGCATTTGATACAGTTGATCGTGAACTCTTACTGCAAAAATTGCAGGGTATTGGAATATGTGGTATACCGTACAATTGGGCCCTATCTTATCTAAGTAATAGAACTCAAGTAGTCACAGTGGAAAATGTAACATCCAGCACACTTCAATGTACGATGGGTGTACCTCAAGGCTCAATACTTGGGCCTTTATTTTTCATTATATTTGTAAGTGACCTAAACACGTTTTGTTTAATGCCAGATAAAATTGTTCAGTATGCTGATGATACCAATATTCTCATGTCTCACAGTGAACCCATACAACTGGTGGAAAATACCAATGTTGTGTCTGCTGAATTTAGCACATATTGTAAAAATAATGGACTCAAGCTCAACGTAACAAAAACACATTTTATGCGTTTCTTACCAAAAAACTTAACTCCAAATTCTGACTTTTATTTACATGTGGATGGCAAATCAGTAAAAAGTTATACTACAACGAAATTTTTGGGGGTAACCCTAGATCATAAACTTACATGGGAAACTCACGTAAATCATATATCAGCAAAGTTAAGTACATGTAGCTATATAATCCGTAATTTAAGAGAAACTGTCTCATTTGATATATTGCGAATGATTTACTTTAGTTTAGTCCAGTCTGTACTTCAGTATGGCTTAATATTTTGGGGTTGCTCATCTCATTTTGAACGGGCATTTATAGCTCAAAAGAAAGTTTTAAGAAGTATGTATGGTGTTCCATTTTCAGATAGTTGCAAGCCACTATTTAAAAAGTCTAATATTTTAACACTACCTAGCCTTCTAATTTTCCAATTAATATTGCACATTGAGGAAAACAAGCTCAAGTTTGTCAGAAATGAGGACATTCACTCACATGATACCAGGGGTAAATCAAATTTTCGACAACCTTTCTCTAGATTAGGTGTATCCCAACATGCACCTGAATATATTGGAATAAAATGTTACAATAAAATAGTCAATATATTAACTCTCAGTAATTCTTCACATAAAGGTTTTCGCCAAACTGTGTATTCGTTGTTAATGGACAACACATTCTACAGTGTTGATGGATTTTTAAATTTTTAGCATTTTTGCAACAATAGTTCTAAATTTGTATTTGTAACTTGTATTTGTAACTTTTATTTCTTATTTATTTTATTGTAAAAACTGTTTTATTTTAATCATGTGTACTTTTGCTATATATTGTACTCTTTTGTACTAAAATTTTGACTAGTCTGATAAGATTTATACATTTTTTTTCTTGTAAAAATTGTGTAAACTGTGTGGATGAATAAATTCTATCTATCTATCTATCTATCCTCTATTTAGAACTTGGAATAGTTTTCCTGTGTTTTACGTTTAAATTTTTTAAAAATATTTATTAGTTTTCTCGGGATTCAAAACAATTAATGTATTTAAAAAGCATTGGACCAAAATTTTGCGGATTAGCTCTTAAGACAATTTTGTATTTTTGTTAGCACTGCAGGTAAAAATTTCCAATATCCTGCTATTTTTTTACTTTTATAATTTTTTTTCATTTTTTTTTTTTTTTTCAATAATACTTAATGCCTGTATGTACTAGCTTCTGAAAAAAAAAACATTTAAACAAAAATTCGCATGTTTAATATTTATCCTTTCCCTTGGCTATACTATATATAATTACCACATACATTATTTTTCAACATTTTTACTTTTTAAGATTATCCTATACCCATTCTGAGCACAGAAAAAAAAATTTAAAATTGTATATTTGTAGCAAAGCTTAAAAAATTATGATACAAAAAATGTTCAGGTATTACAAATATGCAATAAAATATTTAAAATCATACATTTTTTCAAAACAGCTGAGAAATGCACAGCTGGCCATACAATTAAATTAAGTATCTAAAAATAAATTTTGAGACACACTAGAATAATGAAATTAAAATAACAAAAAATGATAAAAGTAGTATATACTTAAATGTGGTTAATTCTTGTAAATAACATCATATTAACAGTTTTTAAACATAATGTGTAGTGAATCGAATGAAGGGTCATTCATTTTTGATAAAATATTTGTGCAAGCCCTCAGTAATTAAGTGTGTATTTAAATTCCTAAAAACTTGCTATGAAAAATCTGTCATAGTGAAATTGCACCTTAAATAATGTCATCGTAGTCCAAATAATCATTGCAAATACAAACCAATATCAATTATAAATAAAAATTCCGGTAATTTTGATTTAAATTATTATTGTAAATATTGGATTTTTGTTTTGAGTCAAATCTAATAAAATCTACCTTCAACTACACTTTATATCGATTTTTACGAAAATTACCTAAGTAGAATGTATCATTATAATTGAATTGATTTTTAAGCTGTTAAAGAGACAGCATTGTTATTATTTTTATAAGCTTTATATAACAACACATTGTCCGCATAAAATTATTAATTTTGAATACTCTGACAAGCTTTTTATACAAAATAAACATTAAAATGACTCACCTGAGCGATCGAGGTATGAAAGACAACATTTTTAAAAAGCCGACAAAAGAGTCATACGATTTTTTTCGGAGTTTTAAATAAAATTTATGAACACGAGTTAGAAGCACAGCAAACACTGGTAACACAGAATTTTATTGGCACAGGTAGTTCGATCGTTAGATTACATCACCGACACAGCTGACTTCTTTGCACAAAAATGACAGGTAGCTAACGTCATGTGGACAGGACAGGCATTTCTTCCCGATTAAATGAAAAGTGGACTACATTCATGTAGGACAAAGTGGAATAATTTATTAATTAGTTTTACGATGCTCCAAAACAATAAGTAAGAAAGATATTGATGTGATAAATGACACGCCCAAATGTATGCAGTATATATGACATTTTTCAGAAAACTGCAAGAATTAACATTTAAAAAACAGAAATCGTGTTGTAAAAATATGAAATATAAATGACGACAATTATGTACATGGAATATATAAAAACTAAAAAAATAGGATTTTCTAGATTCGGAAATATAAAACAAAACTCTGGCTTTCTGCTTTTTCATGAAGCTAAACTTAAGTCATTAAACTAGTAATATTAATTGTAAGGTAAAGTGCCCAAATACCGTCTCCCTAAGCAAAATATTAAATTTTGAAATTTTATTTAGAGTTACAATGATGGAAAAATCTGATTTAAGTAACTTAACTCTATGTCTAAGAGTTTTGCTAGTACGATTCTACTAAATAAATTTCCAATTTCGTTGGGTAAAAATAAATAAATAACAAAATAAAGCAAATTTCGATTCTTTACACATCTACCAAAACTATCCTCATCACCGGTTGATACCAGTGGAACTTCTGTTCCGTCCTCAGAGTCACTTGAATTTAAATCCCACTTCGTTGTTTTCTTTTTGGGACTTTCGTTCAATTATGTGCCAGGATTTTCTTTATCTTCCATGATGAGACGTCTTAGCCTTTGACTGCCTCTTCTCTTCTGTCATTTGTTTCTTTTGTAAAGAGATTTTGAGAGAAGTTTTGTGAGGAGATCCAGTTACCAAGAATAAAGTACCGGCTCCAGTTTTCCTAAACCCGTTGACGGCCGTTTCAAGAGTAGCTGCACAAAGATGCGCCTCACAAAAGAGACTGGATATGTGCAGTTTCCTGACAACTCTATTTGGGTTATTGCCAACCATTGTGCTATAGCTTGTGCGTATCTAGTTTTTAAAGGAAACATAAACGATACATCCAAAGGCTGTAGCTAGTCTATAGTGTGGTGGAAGGCAAACTATAGATACTCCTGACTTGAAATGTCAATAAGTTCGAGATTTCCAGTGTGAGAATAGTGACCATCAAGGATAAGCACAACAGGATTCTCTTTTGATGGGTTCACAATGGAACTAAAGTGTTTAAACCACTTAAGAATCAATGGACCAGTTACCCAACCTGAATCTGAACATCCGCCTATCGACCTCGGAGGAGCTCCGTCAAGCAAGTCTTCCTACCACCTTTTAAGTGGAAATATTAACAAGGGTGGAATATACTGGCCTGCTGCTGATATACAGGTTATGACTGTGGTTGTGGATCCACGTTCAGCAGATGAAAGTTTATGCACTTGCTTTTTCCCCTTACAGGTTACTACTCTGGTAGCTTTGTGCTGTACTACAGATATCCCTGTTTCGTCTACATTAAATATTTTTGAGAGGTCAAAGTTTATTTTCTCGAGTTCAGGCTTCAGGATAGAGAAATACTTTCTCAACATTTTCTTTTGTGAATCCTTTAGCTCTAGCCATTGACAAGTTCTGTGGTCGTCTGAGGAAAAGCTCTGGATGGCGTTTGAAAAACAGTCTAATCCACTTTTTGCCAGCAGCCTTTGATTCATTCGAGAAAGTATGAGGTACTTGGTTTAAAATGGCTAGCTGGTAAGCCAATCGCCTCAGGTCAGAAATAGTCAGTCCATAATAATATCTGCTCCATATCCAGATAGTGTTCGACAGGATTTTTCTCGAGCAGCTGTAAAAACTGGCTTCTTCCCAAATTTTGATTTCACACATTCCTCTGGTGTGCGGTCAGATTTGACATAATCTTTTAAAGTAGCCCTCGGAACACCAAAGTAGCTATTTTATATCCCATTTCTTTATCTCTCACAGTAGTGATAGCTCTCATCATGGCATCAGGATTCCACGCTTTGGCAAAAGGCAAATCAACTGACTTTTAAAATGAGGATTTTATAACAAATTAATAATGATAGGTTAAATTTGGAAAATATACTATTGATATTATGAGAGTTTTTTAAGCATGATCGAAAAACTAGGGATTCTAATTAAATTTAAAAGAGTATTCATGGTTGCCTATGTGTAATTCAAGCTCAAAGCTCATATACATATATGGAAAATTTGTGGCGTTTCAAAAAGGAAAAATATATTTTGAATATTATGAGAATGTAATTATTTAAATTATCGCCTGAAGTGATATTCAAAGAGCGGCAAGTAATGGTAAATAAATATTGGAATTAAGAAAAAGTGTCAGTATAGAATACAAGGATACTACTCTTAATGCAAAAGTATGAAATTGATGTGTTGTAATCACAGAAGGATGTAATATATGTGCAAGGTTCGTGTTTTTAACATCAAAACGAAAGAAAACATCACAAAATTATGTCAATTGCCACAAAAGTATTCTGTGTAAGTATTAGGTAAATGCATCGAGCAACAAGACAAGAGAGAGAATGTAAAGGTAGTGGGGGCAAAAATATTGTTAGACAGGAAGTACGATCTTTAGAGGCCACATTAAAAAAGAAAAGAGAGTCTCACTCCTTGTTTGACATCAAATTTAGTTGGGTTATGTTATTGATTGTCCCAAATGTCACATGAAATCTTATTTATATTGAAGTTTTTTAACAATTGTGTCGCATTTTAGACTATTATTGTTAATAATTAATTAAAACTTTCTCGTGTAAGACACATTATGCAAAATATTATATAGTTACTGTTCATAAGTGTCGGAAAATTTAAATTTGGCGCATTCGCATTTCCGGATATGTCCGCCATCAGAGGCCACTTTTTTGGTCTCCTTTTCATAACGATTAGATTCCCTCTTTTGTCTTTTTGCTCGATGGGTAAATATTACATTATATTGTAAAATGTGATGATTAGCTACTAGGCATATTATTTTTAGGAAATCAGTGAAATCACCCATATATTCTTATGTTTAGTTGTTAGGTTATTTTTAAACGTGCTCTTGAATTAGTAATATAGTAGAATTAATTTTCGGTTAATATAGTAATTTTGCTCGTGTTGTTATCTCGTATTGTTTTCTCTTATTGTGTTAATTACTATTTAACTGGGAATAAGCCACAATTAAAGATAAAAAAATACGTTTATTGACGTTTCAATTTCCACTTCAAAAATCGTTCTCAAAATACAAACAGTAAATTAAACAAATTTTGTTTTTTGTTACATAGTGAAAAATTCTTCTAATAATTTAGGCGACTATAAAATGATATTCTTAATAGACGACTTTAAAATGATATTGCCAATATTGTTGAGTTGCGCTCCTGGGACGACTTTACTTAAGATAGTTCATTCGATTACATGAAATCAACTTTAACTTGAGAATATCCGTCAGAAAAAAATCATAATATGTAATTCGTCTTTAAAAAGACAAATACATGACATGATGACAGTAAAATTCTCCTGTTAGTGATTGAGGGAAAAACCAGGAAAAAAAACCTCATAATACTATCCCGACATGGTAAGTATTTGTTCGTGCATCTAGTTTACCTTCAATAAACACCAAAATTCTAATTTTATGTTTCGTTATTTAAAAAACATAAATGATGTATCCTCTATATGTTACTGACTTACTAATACTGGTATTTTCTTATTAATAACTTCCTCTTTCAATATTCGTAACCAGATCCTACTACATTCTGCCGAGGCATTTGTGACACAATTGGCCTCATTTAGCATAATTAGAGCCGAGTCTTTGATTTTTCTTTTTTTACCATCCGTTTCTTTTAGGACTACATTTGAATTATTCCATTGAACCCTATGTTCATTATCTCATGCGTGTTTACATATTTGAGATCTATCAAATTCTCTATTTTTAATATAAGATTGATGTTCACTTATTCTAACATTTAATGGCCTTGATGTTTCACCTAAATAAAACTGATCGCATTCAAAAGGCATTTTATAAATGCAATTCTTTGTCCTTTCTTGTTCATTGTTAGGTTTGGTTTTGGACAAAATAGATCTCAACGTGTTTGTTGTTTTGAATGTTGTTGAAATGTTGAATTTATTTCCTATCCTTTTAAGTTTTTCTGATAATCCTTTTATGTACGGTATTGTTATTTTCCTCGTATTATTCCTTGTGTATGCTGTAGGATCTCGTTCTAAGTTGTTCTGTTCTATTCGATCGATTGTTGAAAATTCCTTATTTATAAACGATAAGGGATAATCATTTTTTAATAAAACAGATGTTAACAAATGTTTTTCCTCCAAGAACAAGTAATTTTGGTTCTATCGTATAAGGATTTAATTATTCTCTTTTTTACATTAATATTGTGATTTGATTTGAAATTTAAATATCTATTGGTGTGTGTTGGCTTTCTATACACCTGAGTCTTATATCCAGTATCGTTCTTAGAGATTAAAACATCCAGGAAAAGTAGCGTGTTATTATATTCCTTTTCCATGGTAAATGTTATTGTCTCTTCTTTATCGTTTATATCATTTAGGAATATGTCCAACAACTCTGATTCATGAGGCCATATTGAGAATACATCATCTACATACCTCCACCATACTTTTAAAGTCGTCTACTTTAAAATGCATAATGTATGTTTGAATTGTCAATATAAATGAGTCAGATAAAATAAATTATTAGTAACTTAATTATTAATTAGTAACACATAAATTAGTAATTAGTAACAATTTTTCACTATGTAACAAAAAACAAAATTTGTTTAATTTACTGTTTGTATTTTGAGAAAGATTTCCGAAGTGGAAATTAAAACGTCAATAAACATATTTTTTATCTTTAATTGTGGCTTATTCCCAGTTAAATAGTAATTAATTTAAAATGCCACAAGAAAATAGCTTCAGAATCTTATTATGTTGTTAACTATTTTATTGTTTGAAACAATGCTTCAAGACCCGAGAGTATGTTGGAAAAGCAACTAAATTTTGTCACTACTCCAATTTAATCTAACGCTGTTACTGTGGTTTGCTTATCAAATATCAAATATTATCGGTTATGAGTCAAAAGGCCAGACGATCATCAGCATATTTGATGACATCCTCTCTATCTTCCGTTCTGCACAAGAGCAAAGTACTTTAGCATTGAAATGTGTAGTTTATTGTTGTAAAGTGTATAAGTAAAATATATATTGTGGAATTAGAATAAACCGCTAATAAAAGTGTTGTGTATAATTTCACCCCCATAGGACACAAACAAAAAGAACCAGCTACTACACAAAATCCTGGAAGTAACAAGATGTAAGTGTGCATGAGTGATAAACTCCATGGGGTCCCTCGACTCCATTTGTGATTACGTCACATTAATTTTACACTTTTGCGTTAAATATAGTATACCCGGTTCGCTATTCCCAGTCCGAACTGTAGTGATTTTAGTAATTATTTTTTTGCGAAGTTAGTTACTTTTTGACAGACTCGAAGTGGCTGGAAATTACCATACAACCAAGCATACGTGCTCTTAGTCAATATTAATGTAAACAAAAGTAAATAAAATAGAACTTTGCCGACAATCAATATTTATTTATTTACACCGTATAATGTATTGATAGCAAATAATAAAATTATTTATTGTACAAAATAAAAAAAGTGGGAATACATTCTACAAAATTAAAAAGTCAAATTGAGGTTAAATAAGACACAGCAAGTTCCTTATGTTGTGACTAGGATGGAATCAATGATTAAAGATTAACAGTTCATTGGATAGCATTAACATAAACTGTTGTTTTATTATCTTACAAAATAAGTGTACTTCCATATGCTAAAAGCAAATATTAGTTATTTGACTAGGCAAATTCGTGGTTCAATAGTAATTTTTGCTCATTAGCATTTGAGGATGTTAAAATCTTCCACATATGGTGAATGAATTCAGTGTCCTGGCCGCAGTCTGCAGTCATATAAACCCAAACAAACAACAAAAACCTCCATGTAAGTATAAACAAGTTTATATTAAATTAGAAACAACTAATCTAAAAATATTAACTTTGAAAAAACATTTTATCATATTTATTAAGAAAAACTTACCAACGGATTAGCTGATGGAACAAATGGAAAACTTTGACTATCCATAATAATAAAATTTAAAATATAACTAATTAACTGAATAGAACTAACAAAAGAATTAAACAAAGATAATAATACAATAAAACTATATTAAATTAAATAAACAACGCGAATAATACAAATATTTACTGCAATATTTTTAATTGTAACAATTCAAATATTATATTTATACAGGGAAAATTTGATGGGTTTAGTATACACTTCCACTATTTCGAATAATTCTTCTTTTTTTCAAAGAAGGAAGTCTGCAATAGTAGTATACTTGAGCTATTAATACTGAGAAGTAGGAATTGTTGTGTTGTAGGTTTCCGACAATCTGTCAAAATATGCCCTAGCTAAGCGAATAGACAATACCTTCTACCCGTATTCTAAACCATTATATACTGACATTGTCTGTTAATTCCGATACTAATTCACCATTACTACATGCTCCTTGAATTTTACTTCAGGACAAAGTGAAAGGCATTTTGCCTATCTTAATGGGGGTACCCTTTCTTCTTTTTAACATCAATTGGTGTTACCTATACAAAGATCCGTGATTCCTCTACACTTGTAGTCCTAGGGAAAGTAAAGGATATGCAAACAAAAACAACAAATTGGAAAATCTAAATACTGTATTTCCGAAATATCTACTTATACATTAAATATGGATTATAATAACAATATAACATAAATTATTTATTACTTAGTAACTTATTAGAGTTTGGGGAATGAATAAACCGCAGGTAACGCAGGTTGGTAGTCAGTATTGTACATCTGAGCTTTGATGAAAGCTTCTTTGTCTTTTGGTTCGGGAAGAACCGTTGCGTTTCCTAAAAAAATAATATTAGTTTATAAATATCAGTCAATAATATCAGTTAAATAATAAAAAAAACAAGCCATATAGAAGTAGTATTAGAGTACATTTCCGAATATAATAAAAAAGCAATGAAATTAACAGTTTGTTTTTATTTGTCGATCCCTTCTTTATCTCACCCTGGTTGTAATACTCTTCTGTTATGAGATATGTATTAATCTTCTGAGGTACTGCAGTGAATATACAGTGCGTTAAGTTTTGGATTAGGTATACACTCTATAAATGGCAACACTGCGCGTCGTCGACTCGTCGTTGCTCGTCGCCCGTCGGCAAATTTGTCATATTGTCATTATACCGTGGTTGTTTAAAGGTATAACAGCGTAGAGTTTTAATTTATTTTTGTAAACATGTCTGTTTATATGGCCGCGGAAAAAGCTCAAATAATAAAATGGTTTTATAGTGGCAATTCTGCGCAACAGTGTGTAGATTTATTTTCTGTGTTTTTTTGAGGGAAGACCAATTCCTTGTGTACAGTCAATTTATAATATTGTTAAAAATTTTGAGAGTTGTTATTGCCTCAAAAATTGCAGAAAATGTCACGCTCGAGAAGTGTTACCAGAAAAAGTTGAGGAAAGAGAATACCGGGATACACAAATTTGTGCAACAATCGAGGTAGATTCAACACGTTCAAGTAGAAGCGTTGCTAGAGAGTTAGATGTTAGCAATGTTACTGTAACGAAAGTATGGAAAAAGCACGGTTACAAGGATTTTAAATATTCGAAAACGCAGCAGCTTTATCCAGACGATTACTTTCGAAGAATGGAGTTTTGTGAAACTCTAATAACGAAGGCTAATAGTGAACCAAATTTTATTAAAAACATTTTATTCACTGATGAATCTTCTGTTTCGTTAGTAGGGAGACACAATCCTTTCATTACGAGGTATTGGGCGCGGGAAAACCAGCACAGAAGTGTTGTTTACCGAACTCAACGTCCTCAAAAAGTTAACGTCTGGACTGGCATTTTAGGAGACCACATAATAGGTCCATTTTTTATTGAGGGCAACTTGAATAGTAGAGTATACCTCGATTTGTTACAGAATCATGTTCTTCTCGCTATTCTCAATCTTCCTGATGTAAATCTGGAGAATGTTTGGTTTCATCAAGACGGCTGTTCAGTTCACAACGCTCGAATTATTAGGGAGTATTTAAACAATACTTTCCCAAATGGAGTTATCAGTGGAACAGGCGATATTAAGTGGCCTGCGCGATCTCCAGATCTTACACCCATCGACTTCTTTTTTTGGGGACATTTAAAAAGCATTATCTAGGCTCATCCTGAGGCTAGAGCAAAAAATTTGGATGAATTAAAAAATCGCATAACAGAAGTCTCCAATTCTGTTACAGCAGAAACTCTTTCATCTGTTCGCAGAAGTTTTTATGACAGATTGGGGTACTGTTCAGCCGTAGAAGGTCAACTATTTGAACCATTTCTGTAGGTCATTAAGAATTATTTTTTATTTTATTAGGAATAATATTTTAATTTTCAATAAGAGTATATTTTTTATTTTATCTTTTTAAAGAAATACGCTTTTATTTTTAATTCAACCACAAAAAAATTTTCACATTAATAAAAATCGATAACAGTGCACCGATTAGGTCAGTGCATTTTTATCGAATTTCCTACTATTAAAATCGGCTTTACGTAATGAAACATGAGATCGGACGACAGAGAAGTACATCCCTAACGTTGTTGTGAGTTACTAAACTAAAATAAATGATTTTCTGTCGATGTAGATTTTCGGGTCGGAGAACGAACATTTGCAACGTTATCGTAATCAAAAACTTAACGCACTGTATCAACTGTCTTTACAGTCCAAAAAAAAGCAGTCTGGAATCTTAGGAGTAATGGCGAGAGAATCCTGTAGAGCAGTGTTTCCCAAATGTCTCAAAATTGCGGACCCCCAAAATTAGACAATAGGATCATGGGGACCCCCAGAAACAGTTTCGTTAGAAAAATAAAAAAACAACTATTGCGTTTTTTAAATATGTTATTTAATTAATAATTAATAAAAGAAAATAGAAATAAAATACAATGATTACATTATAAAACTTATAAATTTTCAGCAGTTTTAAATTTTAATGAAAAGAATGGAACACTGATTTTTCCTTCATAATTTTTTGTAAATCAGGTCTAATATTTGAAATTTTTAACCTTAGATCTGAAACAACATCCAGTCGATTTCTTTGTTTTGATTTTAAAATAACGTATACAGAGAAAGCCTGTTCACATAAATACGTCGTACAAAATGGAATCAAATGTTTCATAGCCTTTTCGGAGAGATCGTTGTAATCAGAATTAATTTTAATCCAAAACTGAATTAAATCGTTGTCGTTAAAAATATCTTTTTTAGAACTGCTACAAGACAAGTCCACGAGCTGATCTTGTTGTTTTTCTGTAAGACTAGCATTTTCTTCAATTCTTGATGTAACAAACGGATTTCTAATCCAGCTGTTTTCATCATTTGGTGCAGGAAAATATTCACGAAAACTTATAACTACATTCCGCAAATGCTCGCAAATTATAAGTTGAATCTCTTGTGGCAAAGTTTCTTCCTCGGATTTCAGAAACGAATCTAAAGTCGGAAATGAACTTAAAGATGATTGTTCCACACGGTTAGCCCAAATTTGTAATTTTTGTATGGTGGCTTCTATTTTTTCGTCAGTTTTAAAAATATTTACATTTTTGCCCTGTAATTGTAGATTCAGTCCATTTAAAAAAACAAAAATATCGGATAAGTATGCTGTCATGCACATCCAAGAAAAATTGTTAAGTCGTTCAGCTAATTCAAATTTATTCTCACTTAGAAAAAGTCGCACTTCGTTGCGCAATTCAAAAAATCGAGCCAAAATCTTTCCCCGGGATAACCATCGTACTTCTGTATGTAAAAGGAGTTGAATGTGTTCACTGCCTGCTTCTTCACAAATTGCTTGAAAAACACGGGAGTTTAACGGCCTGGCCTTAATAAAATTAATAATTTTAACAACTTCGTCCAAGACCAATTTTAACGATGGCGGCATTTTTTTGCAAGCTAGAGCTTCCCTATGGATACAGCAATGAGTCCATATTATATTGGGTGCTACATTTTTCACGAGTGCCACAAGACCCGTTAATTTTCCAGACATAGCACGGGCTCCGTCTGTACTTAATCCAACGCATTTGTTCCACAATATATTAGATTCAGTAAAAAAATCATTGAGAGCGTTAAACACACAGTCAGCTGTAGTACGCATTAGTTCCCGTAAACACAAAAAGTCTTCATGAATTTCACCATCATAGTCGTAACGAACAAATACCAACAAAATTGCTTTATTTGAAATATCTGTACTTTCATCAAGTTGTATGGCGAACATTTTACAAATCTGGAGTCTTGCAATTAAAATCTGTTCAACATTCAGGGATAAATCGGTTATTCTTCTTTTTATAGTGTTGTTGGAGAGAGGTATTACTTGCAACTGGTTTGCAGCAGAATCACTAATCATGGTCTTACACATAATCTGCGCAGCTGGAAGCAGTAACTCCTCTGCTATAGTGTGGGACTTTCCAGATTTAGCGATTAATTCCGCTATTTGAAAAGAAACAAGTGTGGCCTTTTCATTTCCAGAAGCAACTGTTTTTATTACGTTTTGACTCTGTTTAAGTTCTTTCATTTTCAATCGAAAGAAATCAATAGATTTATTCTCTGATTCAGGGTGCTTTCGCTGTAAATGACGTCGAAGTTTTGCCGGTTTCATACATTCATTTGAAAGCACATCAAAACATAAAACACATTGTGGTCTTAACTCGTCGTTGACGGTATTTTCAATAAATCCAAATTGTAAATATTCTTCATTATATTTTCGTTGCTTCCCACGAAACTTACCAATACTTTTTGGCGTCGAATTCGCTGCCTTAGGTTGAGTTTCTGACTCCTGAGAAATACTTGGTTGTTGTTCCGTCTCATCATCACAGTGTGGTCTTTTCAAAGAGCCGCTTTTCAACCAACGATCCATAGTAAAAACACTAGTCACTATTAGTCACTAATCAACCGAACAATTGTAATAAAAATTGTGTGTATCTGCTTCCAAATCGATTCTAAAGTTGTCACGTTACCATTACTTTACACGTTACAGGAGAAACTAAGCTCAGACAAAAAAAATGCGTAGGCGCAAGGCCACGCCCGAAGCAAGGCCACGCCCGAAGCCATGACGTGTTTATGTGTTAGCAAGCACCGTTGCCAGATCAAACATTAATTCTTAAAACTTCAAAAAATTGTGAACGTATTTTTGCCTATTCTTTTTTTATGCCGTGGGCTCGCGGACCCTCGAAAAATATGTCGCGGACCCCCGGGGGTCCGCGGACCACTATTTGGGAAACACTGCTGTAGAGGATTCAAATCACTCAATATACTCACTTTCTCAGCCATCTATATATTTGAATATATTATGTTCCGTTTTAAAAATTTTACTTTGTTTTATTACCTGCTTCCCAATCATGAATATAATACAAGAAGCCTTAATTTGAACTTCCCACTTCACAGATTGTCTCTACATCCTTTGTATGCGTGTGTTAAATTTTACAATGGTCTTCTATCTGACATTCAACAGGAAACACACTATAGAGCTTTTAAAAGAAAGGTTTTTCAACACCTAGTTAACATTGAGCCCTATAATATGGCGGAGTGCCTGGCCTATCCTTATCCCTGATCAGCATTTAATTTGTAATGTTAATATGTTTTAATCTGTGAGTAATAATGTGACGTTATTTGTTCAATTATATTTAAAAAGTTATGCAAATAAAAATTTACTCTACTCTACTCTAAAAAATACCCTCATAAATCCATTCTGTTAATTTGTTGGTTCCATTATTTTTTATCTGTTCAACATCCATCATTTATATTTTGAGAAATCCCATTTAAGATTATCTTACAAAATGAGGACTGTTTGTAATTTTTAATGATGGTGTCACAAAAACAACATAAAACATATTAAGGAGTGCTTACTTCAGCTACCCAAAAATTTGTTTAGCACAAGTCTGCATTGAAATCATCTCGTTATCCATCAGTATGTTTGTTTGTGTAATAAATCTTGAACGAAGATTCCTAGGGTCTTGAAACTGTTCATACGTTTTTCTTTGTGTAAGGAACAATCCTATTAAACTGTGTCAATAGGTTGTCTAAATCTTCTCATCTACTGACGCCGTTTTTTCTTTCTTGATGCCAAAATGCTAGAGTTGTGAAACTTGGTACACTTGGTGTTGCTGTTCTGTTGGAATCATATTAAATTTAGGATCAATAGGTCTTCTTCTTCTTGTCATATCCTTATGCTTCTAGTGTTTTGAAACTTGGTACATAGATTCCTCTTAGCTTTACGTTAAACAATACTGTCGGGTCATACGTTGTATCTGTTTATTAACTTACATGTTATGGTTCAGAAAATGGTTAAGATTTTAAGTTTTTGTAATTTTATATTCGTTGTATAACTAGTTCATTTAACCCTGTTGACTTACTAATATTAAACTACAAACTACAATATACATTATTAAATCAAAGTCTTACCTTCTTCATAAGCGTACTCGAGAAGTCGCGTTGCGATTCTTAGTGAACACGCAACGATGCTCTCCAGTGGTGGGTATATCCTTCCATTTTCGAGATTATCTTCAGTTACCAAATTGGCGAGTGCCTGAAATACATAGGTTTTAAAATATTGCCTATTGTGAAATATCTGTAGAACATTTACAAGTGGGACTGGCAAACTGAAGTATTAAACAATGACGGTGGTTAATAGCACTATATAGGGAAAATAAGACACCCTTGTTGATCATAAATAAAAGAGAGTCGTAAGAACGAGTGGTACCATAATGACAAAATTCGTATTAGAGAAGAGTGATTGAAGAATAAATGAAAGTTTGCTATGATTTGTTAGGAATGATTTATATATAGAGGAGAAAAGGCTTAAAATTTCAAAAGTTTAAAATCAATGAAAGTAGAGAACAACAAGAAGTTTTTCCCAATTTATTGGGTCACTGGGGAGAGCCTCATAACAACTATAACAACCAGATAAAAAATCCAGCCGCCTCGTTCCTCATTGGTGCCGACAATGTTACAATAAGGGCCTACATCTGAGCACACTTTTATCCAACAGAGGCTACATGAAGCCGAAGTCTCTCCAAATCTGAGTGAGTGACGATCGGTATAAAATCGGTGTGTGTGCAATTCACCTTAGACCCTTGGAAAGAAGTGAAGGACAAAAATACCTTCACATATTCGCTACCATCTTTAGATTTCCGTTTTACTTATAATTTCCTCAAAGGTAAGAAACACGCGTCTAAACAATTAGACGTGAACATATCTTGATCCGCATCAACAAAGGCGAGATCAGCCTCCCTTCCAGCTCTCTCTACTGCTATTTTACAACCATTCGGCCAATGAATATACCGTTGGAAAGCTGATTGCGCGATTTTTATACATTTGAGAACTTTTGGCAATGACTAAATTAAAAAAAGGCCAATAATATGTTAATTTAATACATAGATAAGTCAATCCAAGAGCAAATTACAAGATATGTATAAAAATTTAAGTTTTAGAACTAGAAATGATGTTAGAAATATAATTGAGCTGGAAATAGCACTAGTAGTTCATCATCATCATCATCATCATCATTCCTCAACCTCTTGCATCCACTGTTGGATATAGGTCTCCTCCATGTTCTTCCACTGTTCTCTATCTTGCGCCTTCTGTATCCAATTTCCGACTGTTTTTCTCAAGTCGTCCATCCATCTTTTTGGTGGTCTGCCTCGGTGTCTTTTGTCTTCTCTAGGTCTCCATTCTATGAGTTTTTTGGTCCATCTATTATCATTTAAACGTGCTATATGTCCAGCCCATCTCCATTTGGCTTGTGCAATTTTTTCTATGACATCTGTCACTTTTGACCTCTCTCTCACTATCCTATTTGGTACCATATCTCTTCTAGTTATTCCCAACATTGCTCTTTCCATTTTTCTTTGGATTACTCTCAATTTATTTGCAGAATGTTTGGTTAAAGTTATTGTTTCGGAACCTTATGTTATTACTGGCAGTGTGCATTGGTTGTAAACATTTTTCTTCAAGCAAATCGGTAGCATTCCTTTTAGAATAACTCGCATCTTGCCAAATGCTGCCCATTCCAAGCCTATACGACGCTGGATCTCACAAGTTTGATTGTCTTTTCCTATTCTAATTTCATGCCCTAAATAGATATAGCTAAAGACCTGATGTACTTCGTTCCCATCTACCCTCCTAACATCACTTGGAACTAAATTGGTCATGTATTTTGTTTTTTCAAAGTTTATGTTCAGGCCTATTTGTTCTATTGCCTGTTTTAGTTCTTCCATCATTTTGTGAGCTTCATTTAAACTCTCGGCTATTGAAAAATGTGTTGAATATAATAAACCACTCACGTTGATTTTCATAAACTTCAAGAAAGCTTTTGATACCGTGGAATTACCGGCAGTATTAGGAGCATTAGAACAAAGCCGAGTAGACTATAGATATACAAATTTGATAAAACATATATACAACAACGCAACAGCATCTGTTAAACTCCATGACTTTACCGATAAATATAGAATTGAGCGAGGAATTAGACAGGGCGACACCATCTCCCCCCAACTATTCACTGCAGCTCTGGAATATGCCTTTAAAAAACTAGATTGGGCTAAAAGAGGAATAAATATTGATGGTGAATACTTAAGCCACTTGCGCTTTGCAGATGATATTGTCACTAGTAGTTATACAACAAGTATATAAGACATTGTAGCTACCTGTTTAGGACCTTTTCGAGACAGGTCCACACAATAACCACCACTGTCGTATAATTCAGAGAAAAACAACAAAACAGTCCATGAATGAATTGTTGAGACCATAGCCCAAACACACGACAAAGGTTCACGACTAAGGGCATGCTAAAAGAGTACATTTTAATTTGCAGTTTGTTGCCGAGCAAAAAAAAACAACACCAAATTCGAGTTTTCCAGAGAATTCTTAAATCCACAAGTGGTGACGAACACTTGCTGCAAACGCATCATCATTAGGGAATCGTCTCAATGAGGTCAAGAATCTCTCAGACGTCTAAGAAAGTACACAAGTTATAGTTTATTCGTCTTCCGGGTTTGGACCGTGTCATTTGTGAGTGACCCAAAAATGGGTTCATCTCGACGTTTCGCTACAATTGTATGTAACTTCTTCAGGAGAACAAAGAAAAGGAAAAAGAAAACAACAGACAGGAAGATGGGTAGTTAGCAACGGTAACTCAGTTACTCAACGCAACCAGAGGCGAATACTAACTACCAAGATGGGCATTTGGTCACAGTAACTCAACTACTCAACGCAGCCAGAGGTGAAAACCAAATGCCAGGACTGGGATTCACTTCCAACAGCTCAGAACACTAACGCGTCGACAGGCGGGGAGTGAATCCGACGATTACTCCGCTACCGCTCTATTTATAGTCGCGGTGACCTGTCGTGTCGGGACGTATCGGCACACTCCGTGGCGCGAACGTCAAGAAGCGCGCGCTGGCCAATCATGTGGCTCCATCGTGGTAGCGGGACCGGACGGCGGCTCTAGACAGATTCCAGATGGGAGACAAGTAGTATCCTTCCTCTCGATTGATATTATGTGGATTTTTTCGGATCTCTAGAGATTCGCGGATTTTCCTGGAATAAAAGAAGGGGCTCTTAGAAATAATACGGGTTTTTTCGAACAATATGGAATGACCGGTTTCTTGGCAGTGTTCTGCAACTGCAGAATGGGAGAAAAATGCATTTTTTCATTTGTCAACAAAGTTTTTAAGTATGAGTTGGAAGTTCTTGACCACCATTCGTATTTTTAATTTAGGATGTGGTATCTTTTTTTTGTTCAACAAGGTATTGTCAAGATAGATTAAAAAATGTTAAAAGATTTTTGAAAATTCGACAGCAAATCAATTACGCTTACCTCTGCTGCAACCAGGAAGTGTTCTTCGCTGATTTTTTGGATACCAGCAGTGACTGTTGCCAATCCTACTCCGGGGAATATATAAGAGTTGTTACCTTGTCCTGGGTAAAACGTCTTTCCATCTAGAGTAACTGGATCGAATGGACTACCACTCGCAAAGATGGCAGTACCCTGAAAACAGTTGAAATCTTTAAGCAAAAATTTAAGAGAAGACTATACTAACTTTATGACCTTTTACAAACCTTAATGGTTCGAAATATATAGTTAGACTCATAGTTAAAACAGTTTTTAATTTGTATATACCTTGGAAGTAAATGTTTCGAAAATATTTGAATATTTGGAATCTAAATATTAATTTTTATAAGATTTTGTATAACAAATTGGCAAGAAAATGTTGAATCTGTTATAAAAATTGATATAACTATCGGAGTTTCAAAGTAACTGTTAAAATATTGATATCAACTAAACAAAATTTAAATATTAGCGCCATATGTCATTTACAGGAAGTTAAGATTGGTACAATGTAAACTGTCAATTGTATGCACTTTTGGAACAAAATAAAGTCAGTCTTTACTGCATACTCAACTGGTTCGTTTCATTTATAAGTTTTAAAAGTAACTAGTGGGATACTATTAGTGGTATATTATTATATAATAAACATTTAGGATTCTCGGCAAGAAGATGATGAATCTGTTATAAAAATTCATCTAGCTATCATAGTTTATCAGTAAATGTATATATGAAGTGTAAGCACACACCAATTATTAATTAAAGATAACTGTTTACTTACATTTGTTTCTCTGTAGGCTTCTTCAGCAGTACATTCCGCTTTATTCGTAGGATTGCTCAAAGCGAAGATCACAGGTCGTTTGTTGTTTTTGGCCATTTCGCGCAATATTTCTGAGGTAAATGCGCCACCAACGGCCGCGGCTCCAATCAGTATTGAGGGTTTGATGCTCTTTACAACATCGGTCAATGTTTTTACAGGTGAGTGCTCGTGTGCATAGAGTTCCTTGTGGTGATTAATTCCTATAAAATGGAATACTGTGTAGTAAATTGTATAACATTATATGGTTCTAGAGTTTTCAAAATCAATTTTGTGACCTATATGAAGATGGTATTGACCTAGAGTCGAAATTGCTTGCGAACAAAAATGGAATGTTCATAAATCCTATTTTGGATTCTACAATTTGTTTGACCTATATAGGATCAGGGGCAGTCTGTACAAGGAATTTCATAAACTTCGTATTGTTGATTTGGAATGTTGCCTTTGATTGATCGGACAAGTGAGTTGTTAGTCCGAACAACACATAACATTATGATAATATTTGGAAGTAACATTTCTTAGATATGCCATATATAATGAATGCGGAGCTTCTGATACGTCATTTGGCGCAACTTAATATAATTGTCATTTACCTATAACTACACGTATCGAACACAGATGGCAAGGTTAAGTTCATAAGCTTATCGAGAACACAACTTTAAGGAACCTTAAAACAATTAGAGCAATGTTCGCAGATGATCATTAGAAGTAGACAAAACAAAGATAACTACAGTAACTAGAGACATTGTTGGTAGTGGTAGATTAGTAAGCTAAGTCTCTAAAAAGTTGAAGTAGATTGAATTTTGGTGTCATTGAAATGACATTGTCTTATATAAGGCATATTCCAAGTAGAATTACTACAAACGTCTTGAGTATTCACACATTTATAGATGTATTGGATGAAAGTCTCTAGTAACTGCCCTCTTGTAACTCTTCTTTACTTAATACATCATCGTCTCAATCAATCCTAGTTAGAGAAGCAATTTCTGTTTCAAAAATCCGTGTCGTTTCACATTTCTCTATTAAGATCTCCATTTCTACCGTCCATTACAACGTTTTGCTTCGAAAAGTATAAATCGATGATGCCTGAATAATATACAGAACCTGCAGTGATAAAACTGGAATAAAAACAGGCAATAGCAGTTTAATCACAGCATTAACATACTTATGTATGCCTTAAAAACCAAGAAGGACATCCTATCCTGCTATAACTGCTAAACCAGTAATGTAAAAAGTCTATTTTATCCAATTTTTCTATTTTTCTAGTAGTTTAAAGTTTACTAGGCTTAAGTATTAACATATATTTCAAATAAATACAGATAAAAACTATAAATTAATTGTTGTACATTACCTCCTTCAGGTCTGTCCTTAACGATTAATCCTTTTGAGTCTACCATCCATATTTTCTTCCGGGCGTCATTCTCACTAGTACCTTCTTTTATCATTGCCATGGTACACAATTGGGCGATTCCCAGATTTGCTTCTCCTGCACCTTGGAATACTATCACATGATCGGAAAGTCTGAAAATATAAAAATATTTTTGATTCAATTATGCACAATCAAATATACTTCATTCAGTAATCCATAATGTAATTGACGTCAAAAGTATAATGAATTGGCGTCGATTGTCAAAACTGTCAAATTTACGTCAAAATTCAGTGTCAAAATTTGTCAAAATTACGTCAAAATTGTCCCTGCAACATAAAAGTTGTTAATAGTACGTCAAAATTCATAACACAGTTGACGCCTATTAATAATATAATTGAAGTTACTATATCAGGAATTGACACAATTATATATTGCCATACTGCTGTCCGGTGTACGTCAAAATTGTCAAATTTACACCAAAATTGCCAATTACACAACAAAATTGACTACTCTGCATAAAAATGTCCAATTGTACATCAAAATTGTCCCTGCTACATAAAAATTGTCATCAAAATTCATAACACAGTTGACGCTAATTGATAATGCAATTGGCGTCAACTATATTATGAATCGACACAATTATAATACCATATTATTGTCCGTTGTACATCAAAGCTGTCAAATTGACACCAAAATTGACAATTATACAACAAAATTGACTATTCTGCATAAAAATTGCTAATTGTACGTCAAAATTATCAACTCTGTCAGAATTTATCAATATTACGTCAAAATTCTCCTTGATGAATAAAAATTGTCACCAAAATTCAAAGCAGACTTGACACCAATTGATAATATAATTTCAGTTAAGTATATTAGGAATTGACACAATTATATTACCATAATGCTGTCAGTTGTACGTCAAATTTGTCAAATTTACATCAAAATTGTCAATTATATAACAACATTGTCTATTCTGCATAAAAATTGCCAATTGTACGTCAAAATTGTCAACTCTGTCAAAATTGTCCCTGCTACATAAAAATTGTCATCAAAATTCATAATACAGTTGACGATAATTGATATTACAATGGGCGTCAACTGTATTATGAGTTGACACAATGATATCACCATATTACTGTCCGTGAACGTGAAATTTTGAAATTTACATCAAATTTGTCAATTTTACGTAAAAATTAGAATTTTTACTACAGGCCAAAAATATCAATTATACGCCAAGATATGACTAGAACTTGGGATAACTCAAGAAAATGGTATGAAACACATGAGATAACTCAAGAAAACGGTATGAAAAACGTAATACCATCACCAATCTTTTTAAACCAATATCAGAAGATTGAGGAACAAAGATCATTTAGTCCTAGAGATATGCAGTAAAATAAATGACATACCAAAAAATATTTTTCTGCGACAAAAGTACAGCTTTGCGTGCTGTATAATCGGACATCTCAGTTCAGAATGCCCCGAAAGAATAACAATATGCATTAATTGTGGCCAAGAATACAAATCTCATGCCTGCTTTACGGCTATGTGCCAGAATGTCCTAACTGTCAGGAAGATCAGTCCGCATAGTCACCAACCTTTCTTGCCCATAAAGCCCACCTTCCAACCCTCATTAAACAATACTCGTCACCGTAACGACCTCTTACCGGGTATGATTGCCATCATCCAGTTCATGTCCATTATTATATTTAATATTTTCCCCGAAAACGAGTCACTCAAGGAAGGAAAATTATCTTTTACTCTACAGAAAGGTTAATGTATTATCCTTCCGCTCTCATTCACAGCTTCGCTGGTCTAAAGTTCATTCCTACTCGCATCCAATCTCTTAGTATATACTCACTCGATACCCTAAACGCAAAGCACTGTTCCTCTCTACAATTTTGCTGACCAACGAGATGAAAACCGTCGCTAGCCTCAACGCGCTAGTTAAACTATTTGCCCCAAATAATTGTGTAAAAACATTCCAGAAAAAATATTAACTGGCCACTTGACCGTCAGGAAAGAGCACCAACACCAATAATCCACACTGAAACTGTCTGAGCTAAGCAAATAAATTGCTGCTCAATAGACCTCTTCAGTGCAGCTACAAATAAAGTACGGATATTAGCTATGATAATAAGCAACATCCGATAGGAAAAGGATAAAAATATATAAAGAATAAATAGTCGATTATAGTGGGCACCAGCTCAAAGAACCATCTTAGATTCTCATTTTCCTGCCGCTTCGTAAATAAAAGTTGTTGACAGGAGATGAAACTTTGTTAAAAATGCCACACGGCACCTTTTAAAGTGTACTTTTTGGTTGCCAAACATCAGTCAGAATTGCAGTGCTCATCGCCAACAGTCAACAAAACTTCTCCTTAAAATATAAGCACATTTAATTGACCATTACGAGTACTCATTTCTTCTTCTTTAAGTTCCATCTTCTATCGAAGGTTGTAAATCATCATGGCTATGCAGACTCTGTTGACTGCCGCTCTAAAAAGTTCTGCACTACTGAATTCAAACCACTCCCTTAAGTTCTTAAACCAGGATATTCTTCGTCTTCCCACATTTCGCTTTCCTCGGATTTTGCCCTGCAATAATAAGTTGTAATAATGCGTATTTTTGCCCTCTGATCACATGTCCCAAGTACTCAAGTTTTCGTCTTTTAAGAGTCAATATTATTTCCGCCTCATTTCCTATCCTTCTAGTTTTTACTTCAGTAGAGTACTCATTGAAAATGACTAATTATATCACATAAATTGGTCATCGTATATTAGGACAGTTAAAAATATTTTACTACAAAAATGTTGTTGTCATATATCCCTGCTTACGGTTCAATGCGTGAAAGCAGCGGAGATCTTTCTCCACCAAACAACTCCGATAAAGAGATAAAGGATGATTTTCCAGAATTTTCGGACTTTCCGATGATTCATCAACCGTCCCTACGCCAGCTGTTTCAAGAGAATACAATCTCGTTATATAAGCCAACAGGAGAGGGCTATGAACATTATTATTGGCAATTCCACTCATCAGTGCGAATTCTTTTAGGTGATAATTATGAATGTAATTAGTAATATTTGTACTTAAAATAGTTTTTAAGTTAAATAAAGTTATATAAACCACGTCGTGCTTCACTTAATCTCTGAACCCCCAGAATAACGTAAAATCTACTAAGGAAATTGATTTTCCTTTAACGAAAAGTATATACGAAAGTTAAGTATATATTAGAGATAGACTATGCATAAAAAAATCTTAATTTTCCTTACCTAGTTTTTGTGATTCTCAAAGAAGCCAATAGACCAGCTACGGCTACACTAGCGGTACCCTGGATGTCGTCATTGAAAGTACAATAGTTGTTTCTGTACTTTTCCAACAACCTGAACGCGTTCGAGTTACCGAAATCTTCGAATTGGATCAATGTATTCTGGCCCCATCTGCGAACTACTGCTTCCATGAATTCGTCGAGGAGCTCGTCGTACTGTTGTCCTGTGACTCTTTTTTGTCTCAAACCTGTACAATAACAAAATTTGTTAATATTTAATGCTAGATAGAGGAATGTGGTTCTTTAAATCGAGTTAATACAGCATCGACAATATGTATATTGGGAATATGCAAGAGTAAAAGAGAAGAGAAACTTTTATGTGGATTTGGTAGTAGAAGTCATTAATGGAGACTTACAAATTATAAAATGTATGTCAATTGCCTAAATATAAATGTTAAAATTGGAAAATCCAAATGTCTGTGAGTTCAGGAATTTAAAAACATGACTTCCACAAAAAAAGTTACTAAAAATCTTCTTTTTATGACGATTTTTTTACTTTGCTAGTCAGTGGATACCCAAGGTACTAATTAGTAATCTAATTATTAAGAGAAGTAGTAACTTGTGATAATTAGTAACCTAATTAATTACGATAAGGTTTATTTAAGAACTATAAAGAAAGCTTAATTTACAACTACAAAAGTTACTAAAACTTTTATCAGAGTCTTCTTTTTTATGTCGATTTTTACTTTGCTAGCCAGAGGACAACCAAGATACTCAATTAGACTAGTTAAATTCAGAAGAAACTGAAACAATACATCAATGACAACCTAGGGAGATGCTAAAGTAAATTAGACTAGTAATAAGTAACGAGATACAAAATGATGAATGAGAGAAAAAAATATGATACAATATTTGAAATTTAAAACGACTACGACAACTTAAATGTAAAAATTACATACGTACCTATATACAGAGGATCTTTCAGATGAGTCTCGTTGTTGGTTCCTACGTCTATCGTAATGGGGAGACATTGATGGGGCTTTATTCCTGCCAAAGCTGTGTATAGAGACAACTTTCCAACGGGGATTCCCATACCGCAGGCTCCTTGGTCTCCTAAACCTAATATACGTTCACCGTCCGTGACTACTATTGCGCGGACATCTGATTCAGGCCTAAAAATTAAATAACAAACTTAGTGAACATAAACATAAGCAATTTTTTATCTGAATAGAAGAGTACGGGTCGTTTTGACAGGACAGACATTTGAACTACTCTGAAGTCACTGTTGGTAAGCGTTGAATCTGTATAACTGACCAAAACCATTTGCCAACTGTCAATTGACACTTTGGAAAAGATAGGAATAGCGAATATGTTAAGACAGAAAAAACAAACATGACGACATTGGCAAAAGGGGCATTACATCATATCTCCGTTGATATTGGTCCGATTTTAGCGTATGATGCGTTAAATGAAAGGGGAGATGACAACGATTGGAATGGGTGGCCAAATTATTACTTCTTCTTCAGATGCAAATCCACTAATGGATGTTAGCGATCACATTTTCCATTAACTCTCTATTTCTTGCAATATGTATCAGAGATTGTATGTCGTTAATCCCTGTCCATTGCCTTATGTTTCGGAGCCAGGACATTTTCTTGCGTCCCATTCCTCTCTTGCCTTCAATTTTACCCTCGATTATAAGTTGGAGGAACTGGTATTTTTCATTTCGCATGATGTGACCTAGATACGCCGTTTTCCTTTTCTTGATGGTTTCGAAAAGTTGGCGTTCTTGGTTTATTCTTTTAAGGACATCTATATTTGTGATTTTCGCTGTCCATGGTATTTTTAGGATACGGCGATAAAGCCACATTTCGAAAGCTTCCAATCTGTTTATATCCCTCGTTTTGAGTGTCCAGCCCTCTACGCCATATAGCAGCACTGACCATACGTAGCACTTAGTAAACCTTAGTCTCAGTTGAAGATCGAACTCAGAACAAGTCAGTACCTTCTTGAATTTTACGAAAGCTTGTCGAGCTTGCTCAATGCGACATTTTACTTCCCTGTCCGATGCCCAGTCTTCAAAAAGCCACGATCCCAGGTATTTAAATTTACTCACTCTTTCTATGGATTTACTATTCAGTGTTATGGTGGAGTTTTCAAATGCATCCAAGTTTCTGGAGATGATCATGAATTTGGTCTTTTTGGTATTAATCTCTAGTCCCATTCGCTCACTGTATTCTCCGATTATAGTGACAAGTTGTTGAAGATCGACTATGTTGTCACAAATTAAGACACCATCATCAGCATATCGTATGTTGTTGATCAATACTCCATTCACCTTGATTCCCATCTCTGCATCCTCCAAAGACTCTTGAAATATGGCTTCTGAATAAATGTTAAATAAAAGAGGGGAAAGCACACATCCCTGTCGAACGCCTCTTCTTATATGTATGGGCTTAGATATAGAATTGTCTATTTTTAGCTGTGCCGTTTGATGCCAGTACAAGTTTTCAATGCATCTTATGTCTTTTTGGTCTATATCAACTTTCTTGAGAATCTGCATTAACTTGTGGTGTTGGACACGATCAAACGCTTTTTGGTAATCTAAAAAGCATAGGAACACATCCTTCCTCTGATCGTAACAATTTTGGACCAGTACCTGTGTTGCTACTATTGCTTCTCGTGTTCCTAAACCTTGCCTAAACCCGAACTGGGAATCACTGATGTCCCATTCACATTTTTTGTATAATCTTTGATGTAGTATTTTTAAGAATATCTTTAAAGTGTGACTCATCAGGCTAATGAGTCTGTGATCCTCACATCTTTTTGCATTGACTTTCTTGGGCAGGGGAATAAAGGTAGAGCGTAACCACTGTTGAGGATAGCAGCCAGTTTCATAAATTAAATTAAATATTTTGTGTAGTGCTGAAATTCCCCTTTCATCTAGTAATTTGAGTATTTCTGACGGGATCTCATCTGGTCCAGGTGCCTTATTGTTTTTTGAATTTAATATTGCTTTTTCTATCTCCTCTTTGGTGATTGAAGGGCCAGTCAGCTGGTCGTCTGTATAAACTTCACTCATGGGTCTTTCGTCATGGAAGAGCTCCTGGATATAATTTTCCCATATATCAATTTTCTCCTTTTCACCCAGCACTATCTGGTTATCCTGATTAACTATGGTAGTTGGTCTTCGTTTTCTGTATATTCCAGCAGTCTCCTTAAGCTTTTTATGTAAATTACGGTCGTCGTGTTGTCTTTGTAAATGTTCTAGATCGATACATTGTTGCTTAAGCCATTCATTTTTTGCTATTCTTATTTTTGCTTTTATTTGCCTGTTAATGTTTTCATACATATTGCTGCCATCTTGGTTATTCTTGTGTCTTCGTCGTTCTTCCATTAGTAATAGTATTTCTTCTGTCATCCATTTTTGCTTCTTGTTATTTCGTTTGTACCCTAAGTTGTTTTTCATGATGTCTGTTACAGCACTTGTAATCGTATTCCATGTTGGTGTTATATCTTCGGTAATGTTTGTCGTTAATATTTGAATTTGTGCGTTTATTTCATTGCTTATTTTTGCTTGTATCACTGGGTCTTTCAGTTTATCCAGTGCTATCTGTTGTTGAGTTTCAGGCTTGTTCTTGCATGAAAGAGCGATCTTTATGACGGCCACTAATAGTACGTGGTCAGAAGGGACATCTGCTCCAGGGTATGTGCAAGCTCTTTTGACAGTTGTGCTGAATCTACCGTTTATAAGAATGAAGTCTATCTGGTTTCTTATTATGTTATGAGCTCTATCGGCTGGAGATTTCCAAGTATATAGGCGACGGGGGTGGAGTTGGAACCATGTGTTGGTAACTCTCATGTTTTCTTCTTGACAAAATTGTATAAGTCGGTCGCCCCTTTCGTTCCTTGTTCCAAGACCATAGGGTCCAACTATGTCTTCAAAGCTGCCCTTCCCTATTTTGGAATTAAAATCTCCCATAATTATGTTGACATCATGTTTCTTTGTCAATTTAAGTAGTTCTTTGATTTCACTATAAAAGTTTTCCACTACTTCATCTGATGCGTCTGTAGTTGGTGCATAAACCTGTATGATGTTGAGATTATTTGGCTTCGCTTCAAGTTTTACTAAGGCTGTGCGGTCGGAATATGGTACAAACTCTGTGACAGCTCTCACCAATCTTTTAGTTATCATAATCCCGACACCTTTTCTATGATCGCGGTCATCATTGCCTGAGTAAAAGAATGTTCCGCTTTCTGTAGTGCATTTACCGGATCCAGGCCACCAGGTTTCTGAGATCCCAAGAATATCTAGATCTAATCTGCTCATTTCTTGAGTTAGGTTAGCCAGCTTCCCGGCTTCAAATAAGCTGCGTGTATTCCAGGTGCCTATCTTTAATGTCTTTCTTAAGTTTGCTCGTACGTTTGAAACATTCAAGACCGCTCCCCCCGGAGATCCGATTGGGGAACTATTTATACCTCCGGATAATTTTGAGTTGAATGTATTCATGTGATTGTCTTGGGAAATATAATGAAGGTGGTATCCCGTTGCCTTCCTTCATGCCGCTTCAGGGCTTAGTTTTCAGCCGCCCACTATGGAACAGACGCCGTTTGCAACCGCCCATTCTGGGTACAGACGTTGCTATTTTCACCATATCTGGTCCACCCCAAATTATTAGGGACACTACATATATTTTTGTATTTTCTACTTTAAATGGTTTTTTGACAAAAAAAATTGGTGTTCATATCTGTATTATATCTGTAGTTTTTCTGGTATGATTATTAAAATTTTTGATAAGCGACCTTATACCTTTAATGACACGATTTTATTTAAAAACATTGTTCAAAATCAATTTTTTTTTTATTATGGGAAAAATTGCAGATGTTACTGCATTCTACACTTTTGCAAATTATTTTATTCATACCAAAGAGTAATAGCAACTACTGCAGGTGTTTCACAAAAGTCTGTAGTAAATCGATTTAAAAAGAATGATTCAAACGAGGCGTTGGAACCGGGCCGTGTTGGAAAATGTGGCAGGAGAAGGATCACTAATCCTCGTACTGATCGTAAAATCAGTGACATTTGTGTCAAAAAATCGTAAAAAGAGTGTGCCACATCTGGACTATAATGATAAATACCGAACGGAATTAATGTTTCCAGATGGAACAGTCCGAAGCGAAGCCTGGCCGAAGGGACAATCTGATAGGTCGCCCGGCCGTATGAAAAAAACCATGGGTCACCGAAGCCATGAAGAGACTTCCAATGGGCCAAGCAGCACTGAAGTATGACCGTTGAGGAGACTGAAGTCGAGTAAGAACAACTTTATTAACGGAATTCCCAGATTTTAATGGACAAAAGTGCATTTTTTCCAACGACGTCCTGGAGCCAGAAAACAAAATTCTCCATCCAGAATGGCATGGTGGGTAGGGTTAAACATCCGGCTAGGTCATGTAGTGTGGTCTATAATCTCGGCCAATGGGCATGGGACGCTTTTACATCGTAAAAGGTGAACATGTGAACAGAACACAGTATAAGATCGAATACTTGAAATTGGTAAAAAAACATTACAATTTGTATGCACTATACATAGTCGTAAACATACAAAACGGTCGCACAACTAGAATAACCTGGGTCATATAATGCGCAATGCACTAAACGGATATAACCTACTTCGCTGACCATACTTCAAGGTAAAAGTGGCATGTGGGGGATAGAAGATGTCCAGGACGGAGAATATCCTGGCTGGTGCATAACCTGCGAAAGTGGTATTAACTTAACCACTACCGACTTTTCAGGGAAGCAGTTATCAACAAAGTCAGAATAAGTCCATGTTAGTGTCCAACATCCGTAACGGTATGTTACCATAAGAAGAATAGTGCCCTATTCTGCACCGATGCCCACAAAGCTAGAAGTGTAACTGGCATTTCTGTCACAAAGAACATAATGCAAGTTCTGTTCCTGACCGGGAAAATACTCACACTGACATGAAACACTCCCATAGAGAGTAGGTGGGAGTTAATACAAACTCGGAGATCCGCCAAAGGATGTTATTTTAACAACGATACCGGCAGTTGATTGAAGCATCTGTATAATAAGAATTGGCAACCTAACCCGAAATTAAAACACAAAAGTTTGTATTCCAGTAGCCATGCCCCGACTGTGTAGAAGCCTGTAAATTGCAGCAAAGGGAGGCATCACTAAATTATTGAAATTAGTGATTTTATGTAACAATTTTTTTTGCGAAAAAAAATAAATGGTTTTACTACCAGATCTCATTGTTTTAGGGGCACCTACCCCATTTGGGTTTTTGACCTTAATACCACACTCTTTATACAAAAAATAGATACAAGGCCCCAAAGCTTGCTAAACAAATTCAGAAAAACTAAAAAAATTAGGGAATCATTCTTACTGGTCCCTAATAATTTGGCCACCCACTGTGTACTAAGGTAGAAAAACACAAACATGGCGGTTACCAAAAAGGGGCACTACAATCTAGTATCTTCGTGATTAATGCACGTATTAGTTACATACGAGCTATCATAGAGGGCACAATAGATGAAGAATAGATTTAGCGACAAAGTTCTGATTATTTATTTGAACTTAAAGAGTTCGGGTCTCTGACTGAGTACCAAGTAAACATCAGCTACGAATCCTAAACATGGCGACATAAACAAATGATGCTGAGGAGCTATATAACGGAATATATTAAGTAGAAAAATACAAACAAGGCTACTACCAAAAGGCACTACACCTTATCTTCGTTATATAATGAACATATACGACATACGAGATAACAATGATAGCATGGATGATAAAAGACACACTATAAGGTAAATCTGCTTTATTAACCTGAAGAAGGCATCTGACTGGCACAAAAATATAACAGGGTATAGTAAAAAAAATATGATTTCAGTCAGAAGAGTACCAGATCCACGCTGCCTAAACGTGTCCAACGTCTTGTACTACCTTCATACAATGATACAATACATAGCCTTCACCTTAGAAATATGTTTAAACTTTATCAACATGTTTATTCAAATGTCAACTTGTTTAACATAGGTCTCCAGTAAATATTGAAATTTATGTTGGTCATAGACAGTTCTTTAATAGCCATCAGTGTAACACATTCCTGATTCAGTGAATATTGGAGGAACTCATTCCTTGTTGAAATAGTCTTTCCAATATGTAGATAATGACTTACGATCTACATTAATGCATGCTCATTGATTACCAAAAAGCATTCGATACGGTTGCATACAGCAAGTTTATGTAAGTATTAGCGGGATCAGACTAAATATTTATGATCAACCATCATTACGTTCTAGAACAAAAAGTGAGATGATACCAAAACAAACTGAGTAGACAGGATGTGTACTGTTGCCTTACTTTTTTAACAATATTCGAAGAAAATCTTTAAAGAGAATGTAAATGATAGTAAGATGTATTGTAGTAGACTACACGCGGACATGCAGATACGCAGACGATACGGTCATTGTTACAGACATTCTTGAAGATATTCAGGTTATAATGATTAAAATAATAGAGGCAAATATTATAAAACAAAGAAATGTGTCATATTTGAGCTTGTTTATAAAATGATTATACTACAATGTAAATATGATGTAAAAGGAATCTGGAAGAAAACAATTCATGGTTGCGCGATATAGGTGAGTGGTGTATTTCCAATGCTGTATACATATAATTTGAACAGAAAAAAAATCATCGATGAAAATGATGTTAACCCCCACTTACGTGAAATACACGGATTGGAATGTAGCGTATCCTCACACAGCGTTTTTTGTTTAATTCAAATGCATATTAATAAATATAAATGATTTGTAATAGAACACTATTGGGTATTAGCTCGTAAACGCGGTTTTGTATAAATCAGCAATGAATTATTTATTTATCTAGCGATTTATATATGTTATAAAGTAAGATAAAAGAATTATAAATAGATCAAAATCATTAGTTACGTCATATGCTGACACAGTTTGAAATGTAGAAAATCTACTTAACATTTTTTTTACAATTTTTCAACCAGACCTGGGGTTAAACTATGATTGTGTTAAGTTATTTCATAAAGAACGAAAATGTACCCATCCTATATTCTTTTGAAAGTACAACAACATGCCAAAACAACAAACATGCAAAAAGTGGCAAAAACACAACTTTCACTATGAACTATCTTACGTCTTTCAGGGACATTGACACGACGTAACATCCAGATTATACAAAAATCTATAATTGGAATCAAAACAGCACCACATGAAGAATGGACAAATATGGTGAGTGTAAAACATAACCAGTATCTAGAAGGGGTAATGACAGGGCTGTAATTCTTTTCGGCCACTGCTTTTCAACCTGTACACGGAACAAATAAATCTAGAGGCACTAGAAGAGTACAATGAGGGCCAACAAGATTAAAGGCGTACCAATAAGTAATTTTTCGAAATGCAGATGATACTATTATTACTGGCCGATAACATCGAAGATTTACAGATGATGCTACATAGAGTTAATACAACTGGCAGCCGATTTGGACTGAAGATCAATAGAAAGAAAACTAAATTTATGGTGATCAGTAAAAAAAAATTTCAACATATCGACCTGCATATTGAAGACGAACGTTATTGAAAGAGTACACCGATATGATCAAGTAGGGACCCAGAATAGAGATTAAAATCCGAATTGAAATAGCAAGATCCAAATTCATCAAAATGAGAAAAGCTCTTAAGCAACCGCAACCTAAGCATTAACCTCCGATGGCGCGCCACGAAATGCTACGTATCTCTACGCTACTTTACGGCGTAGAAGGGTGGACGTTAACAGCAGCAACTATAAAGAAGTTAGCGGGCTCTAGAAATGTGGCTGTATCGACGCATACTGAGAATACCTTGGACAGAACGAGTGACCAACACAGAGGTATTAAGACGAATGGGTAAAGAGGTGGAATTGTTAACAACTGTTAAAAGGAGGAAAGCGTCATACCTGGGCATGTGTTCCGTAATGATAAGTACAGTCTGCTACAGCTTATCGTGGAAGGCAAGATTGAAGGTAGAAGAGGTTTGGGCAGAAAGAAGAAATCCTGGCTGAGAAACTTGAGAGAATGGTTTCAAATACCAGAAGCTGCGAACATAATTACATAGCGGCACAAAACAGAGAAACCAGTGGATGAGCCCAATACTACAGAAGAAAAAGAATTGTTTTAGAGGCGGAGAGACTTTTGGTGGATAGGTAACATATAGCATCTACTATTATTTAACAGATACAATTATCATAAAAAATTTGTCAAACAAACTTACCAGTTTTTCATAATTTCGTACACGTTTCCCTTGTCGTAAATTGTAACGTACATTCTCTCGCGGTCATCTGTAAACCCAATCCAAAGTTTTGACAAGCTAATCCGACGACTGGTGTATATACTAAGGGCATAATATCCGTTACATATTTCCTGACGAAACTGTAGAATAGTTTTTTTTCGTTAACGGTCCTAAAAGTTGAACCATTCGTTTAAAAAAAAATTAAAATATTTAAATCTACATTTACACAAAATATGAAAGAACGCAGCATATTAAAAAAAAAACCATCTGACACAGGTTGTACGCGAATAAAAAAGAAGAGTATATGACGTCTTTATAGAAGATAAAGAGGAACACGTATCCATCGACGTAAGAAGAGGGAGAATGCGAACAAAACACTCTCACAATGAGATACAAAGTTTTATTTGATAGAAATTAATACGAAACCGTGGGACATCATTTCAAAAAGTGACTCGACGAAAGACTTTGGTATTTTTGAGAGAAAAATTCTTAGAAAGATTTTTGGGGGCCGTAAATGAAAATGGGCTATTATATCGGTTTTAGAACGTCTTTCGACGTTGTCCGATGCCTAACTTCCACGTCCTTCTATCATCCCATTGGCCGTCTCTAAGATCTCTTGTACTCATTGCTTTAGTTACCCTTCTTTCCATGTCTTTTTGGGTCTTCCTCGTTTTTTGCGGTTTGGTGGTACCCACTGCATAATCTTCTTGGGTAGTCTTGTGTCTTCCATTCTTTGAACATGACCATACCAAATCAACTGTTTCCTCTCAATGTCTGTTGTTAAGTAACCATCTATTCCAATTCTTCGTCTTACTTCCTCATTTCGAACTCTTTCCCTGCGGGATATACCTAACGATCTTCTAAACACATCCATTTCTACAGCTTCTAATTTTTTTCTGTTGTTCTCGGTTATTCTCCAAGTTTCTGCTCCATAAAGTAGACTGCTTTTAATTAGTGACTCATAGATGTTATATTTTCGCTTTATTCCTATTTCAGAGCTCCAAAGTATTCCATTTAGGCAGCCAATTGTTCTTCTAGCTTGTGTAACCCTTTTCTTTATTTCCTCATCGTCTTTTCCCGTTCTATCGAAGATTACTCCCAGGTACGTATATTCACTACAGGATGTGATTTCTTCATTATTCTCTAGTTCGATATTGGATAACTCAGCTCCTATGGGTAGGTATTTAGTTTTTTCTACATTTATTTCCAATCCCCACTGTTCATATTCCTCCTTTAGTTTTCTTGCCATATACTCTAAATCGTCTTTATCATTGGCTATGATGACTTGGTCATCAGCAAATTGTAAGGTATATAAACAAACATCTCCGAGGTCTATACCCATACCGTGACATTTACGTTTCCACTGGTTTAGTGCTTTTGCAATATATATCTTGAACAACGTTGGTGAAATACAGCAGCCCTGGCGCAGACCCTTGTTAACGATGAACTTTTTAGATAGTGTGTTGCCAATTTTTACTTGTGATGTAGAATTTTCATATAGATTTTTTAAGGCTTTGATTAAAGTGTAGCTAATGTTAGTTTCTTGTAGTGATTTCCACAATTTAGTTACAGGCACGCTGTCGTATGCTTTACGGAGATCAACAAACATGAGATGGGTCTCTTGATTGGTTGCTAATTTTTTTTCAATTAATTGTTTTAGGCAGAAGACATTATTGTGCAAGTTCTTCCAGCTCGGAAACCAGCCTGTTCGTCTTCTTCTTGTTCCCTATACTCCATCTCAATGAGATTTCTAAGAATGCGTCCGTACACCCGGCTTAGTGTACTAGTTATCGATATTCCTCTGTAATTTGAGCAATCCAACTTATCTCCTTTTTTATGGATGGAAGAAATATAAGCTACTTTCCATAAACTGGGTGGTGTGACACCGTTTATATATTTGTTCATACACCAAGTAAGTGCTAGAAATAGTTTATCTGTGCCACATTTTATTAATTCTGCTGGAATATTTTCTGGGCCTGGAGCTCTACCATTTTTTAGTTCAGTTACAGCTTTCTTCAGCATATCAACTCCCACTACTATCTCTTCGCCGTCAACTGATACTTCCGTTGGTGATTGTGCGGTATATTCTGCTCTACTTTCTGTTAGCAAACTCTCGTAGTGTTCTTTCCATTTTTCTGTTGGTATTAACTGGATAGAAGTAGTATTTCTTTCTGTGTTCTTTATTTTGTTTAAAAGTTTCCATGTCTCTGAACACTTTCTTCCGCCCATGCAAGTGTTGATTTCTTGCATGTCCTATCCCACATTTCGTTTTTTGCTGTTATTACTGCTCTTCTTGTTGTTCTTCGTAAGTCCAAATACTTGTCTTTGTCTTGATATTTAGTACTTAGCCCACCGTGTGTACGCTTTCTTTTTCTCCATTACTAGGTTTTCTATGTCTTCGGTCCACCATAGCTTTTTACTGTGTCGTTCGCATTTTTAAACCAAGCGATTCTTTCGCAGCTTTTTGTATACTGGTCTATTATATTTTTTATATACTTCTTCCACACGGATACATTTTGGATTATATCTTCTAATTTTTCAATTTAGTCCTTTCGATTGATATAGTTATTCTCGTACTTTCATGTGTAAGCTGTCCAGATTGAAACTTTGTCGTGTGGGCAGAAGACTCTACAGATTTCTAAGGGGTCCATGAAGAATCGAGGGAAACTTGGCTCAGAAATCGACAGTAGTGCGACTTCTTTGTGACACAAGATCCATAATGGATTGTCGAGTCACTTATGATATGAAAATTAAATTTAGAAGCAAAGAGGTGCAGAATTGTCGAGCGAGTAGACGCTGGAATATACGGTGGCGGGATTAGATTTGGGACAAGGCAGGCGTTCAGCTCCCAAGACTTGCTCAGGCAAGACCATCTCTACCTCTAAGTTGGGTTAAGCTTTAAGTTGGTTCTTGGGTGCAAGAGGAGCACTAGCTGATGCTGCTCTGATCAATAGGGTCAACTTATCGGTACCCGTGCGACACACAGGTGTGGAAGGGAACCAACGGGCCGACGTCCTGATAAGACGGGGCTTATCGACTCTGCCTGTGGGACTTGTACCTGTGATATGATAAGAAGGATAATTAATAATATCTCAGGTACACTTAAAATCGAATGAATGGCTTGACAAGGCTTTGAATCAGATAATAATTTCTATAGGATATTAGGACGGCGTGGATTTATAATTGAGAATATTTTATTAATTCCTTTAATTGAGCTACGAAATACTTTATTGAAACGTTTCACAACAAATATAAAATAAAAGTTTTAAACTATCAACAAAAACAATACCTTCATGACGTGTCCATAAACTACAAACGTTAAATTTTTTGGTGTTTTGTGAATTGGACGCATGCAGTCTTCGCAGAGCACTGATATCATAAGCAGTTGATGCAGCGGACGCATAAGATGAACTGCTTGTAATAATTACCATTTGAGTCCACAGCGAGTCACTTACGATTGTGCCTTGCGATCAAACGCATGCACTAGTCTCCAAAAGTTACGTTTTTACTGAGGTGTCGCAGATCATAAGCGAGTCGCAAGCGGAATGTTTTTACTGAAGCAATGATATGATTAGTGAGTTGTCCGTTGTTAGTGAACAAGTAGTTTTGTTGCAGCGATGAGCGTATGTAAAAGAAAACAATTTTTGTTAAAATACCTGCTAGCAGAAAGAAAGAGAAGACAAGGAATGTTAGAAATGCTAGGTGTTCCAAAATTAGGAAACATCTGTCAGATATTACCTTTACCTGAAACAATTTGGTGGATGAAAGGCTTAGTGGTATTGGGCCACGAAAAAGAAGAAAAAATAAATAGACTATGCAGTATGCTATGAATGTTAGGAGTTGTTGTTTATTGCAAGTATGTCAATAAATATAAATTTTAAATAACTGTAACTAATTCTGTATTGTATACCAAATAAAAACCAAATCCAACATACGCAAACCTCTTAAAACGGGTAGTTTTTGTGTGGTGCGACAACATCCAATATTTAAATAAGACAAGAAGAAGAATACTCAAAAATTTTGATAAACAACCATTTATTAGGAGATGATGTTAAGTTTCCACAGTTTCTTCCGTTTGAATGAACTTCAGTTTTGAATTTTGTGTTAAGTTTAGTAAAACAGACTATGAAAAAGTCGTCTACAAACTGTATTCCATATCCAGTGTCTCCAGAATAGAATCTCTCATATAACAAACTGTCAAAATTACATACACAAGCCACTATAGTCGCTCAGCGTTTGCAACTGTGTCTGCGGTCTCGACGAGCACCACGATCGACGTAGATGACTCACGACAGTGACAGACGCTTTTCAGTCAAACGCGTCGTACCGCAAGCGTATACCGACGGTCGCTAGCGATTATCGCAACTCTCAACAGACGAACACGCTCCAACGACGACGAGATGACCCGACAGGACAGACGCTTTTTCAGTCAAAACGGCGTCGTACCACGCAAGCGGTATACCGACGGTCGCTTAGCGATTATCGCAACTCTGAACAGACGAACAGACGCTCCAGTAAAAACGTACCCTGAGATATGAAGAAGATATTTGTTAAAAATTAAATAATCCCCGTTTTTTGTTCTTCAGAAATACGATATCTGGTGCAAACGATAGACGATTATTCAGAATTAACAAATACGAATTATCGAGTTGTACATTCGTTTTTTGAATACTGGAAGTGAAAATATAAACAATAAATAATTTGATTCTCGCTCCGATTGCCGACAAGAATGTGAGCGTCAGAATAATTTTAATAATTTTAAACTGTTTGTCCTTTTGTTAATGTAGTGTTATGTACCGGGTGGTCCAATAAGCCGATCTCTCGGCTATATATCAGAAACTATTCATGTTATAACTTTAGGAGAAAAAATTCCTTAATAAAAGTGGCCAAGAGAAATCGCTGGAAATAACTTTCAAGATTCTGGATTAACCGCTAGGGGGCGTAACCTGCGAAGAAAATTTTGAAAACCAGTTTTTTGGGAAATATGTCCAATTATACCAAGTGTTAAATAAGTAAACTAGAAAGAGGCATAAATTCTGCACAAAGTTGTTCAAGTACTTTTTTTTTATTTTTTCAAATAAAGGGTGGGGGAGAGTGGGAAAGTATTTGTGGATAAATACATATAACTTTGGTTTGGATCAACCGATTTTAACAAAATTAGTGTCATTAGAAAGAGTATGGATGAATTAATTTATATCTACTATAAAATAATTGCATTTAGTTTTAATTGTCGTAGGTAGAGGGTACTTTCGAATAGAAAAAATTAAAATTTGTTTTTCTTCAAAATTTTTAATGGAAACACCTATTTATTGTAAATTATAATGGAACTGGATTAAATTCGTAACAAAATGGCGCAAACCGCATGTTAATAGCTTTTATCGAACTCGAGATATGAATAAAAACGCATAAACATAAGTAAGTATAGTATTGACACACCCTGTATTATAAAATAAATTAAAAAATAAGTCAGTAGGTACTTTCAAAATTTTTTATAGCAGAAAACTCTTAATTTGATACCTATTTTGACCATTGTTATTTCATATGATTAAAAATTGTTTTTTCGAAACTAAGTAGGCTACGACAATGAATTTGACAGGGAGTTCATATTGTTTATTTATTGACAGCAGTCAAAATATTGTTAAGAAGTGTTATATGTATTATAATTCGAATTGAAAATTGCATTTTTTTCAATAGATATTAATATTGGTAATATTAGTAATTAATTATCAGTACTAATAATTCGTGATGAGTATATCAAATTTTATGATATGCTTGGAGTTTATTTCGAATATCACCAAAATGGCGCTATTGCCTCACGTATATATTCTGTAAGATATCCTGGCAGGAGATATTGTGGCAAAGAAGTAGAGATTTCGGACTACTTATATGTGGATTCTGTTGAATTAAAGCAAGAACATTGATTGAATTATCTTCGGTCATAACTCTACTACGTCGTTTAAAACAAGGACGAGAAAAACTACCAGTTTCTCTTAATCTTTTTGCCTTTCTTTCAAATACTTCTTTGCCATAATGTCTCCTGTCACTATATCTTACAAAATATATACGTGAGGTAATAGCGGCATTTTGGTGACATTCGAAATAAACTCCAATCATATCATACAATTTGATATACTCATCACGAATTATTTGTACTGATAATTAATTACTAATATTACCAATATTAATATCTATTGAAAAAAGTGCAATCTTTAATTCGAATTATAATATAGCACTTTTTAACAATGTTTTGACTGCTGTCAATAAATAAACAATATGAACTCCCCGTCAAATTCATTGTCGTAGCCTACTTAGTTTCGAAAAAACTATTTTTTACAAAATAGGTATCAACATTAAGATTCTTCTGCTATAAAAAAATTTGAAAATACCTACTGACTTATTTTTTAATGTAATTTATAATACAGGGTGTGTCAATACTATACTTACTTATGTTTATGAGTTTTTATTCATATCTCGAGTTCAACAAAAGCTATTAACATACGGTTTGCTCCATTTTGTTACGAATTTATTCCAGTTCCATTATAATTTACAATAAATAGGTGTTTCCATTAAAAATTTTGAAGAAAAACAAATTTTAATTTTTTTTATTTGAAAGTCCCCTCTACCTACGACTATGAAAACTAAATGCAAGTATTTTATAGTAGATGTGAATTAATTCATCCACACTCTTTCTAATGACACTAATTTCATTAAAATCGGTTGGACCAAACCAAAGTTATAGGTATTTATCCACAAATACTTTCCCACTCTCCCCACCCTTTATTTGAAAAAATAAAAAAAAGTACTTGAACAACTTTGTGCAGAATTTATGCCCTTTCTAGTTTACTTATTTAACACTTGGTATAATTGGACATATTTCCCAAAAAACTGGTTTTCAAAATTTTCTTCGCAGGTTACGCCCCTAGCGGTTAATCCAGAATCTTGAAAGTTATTTCCAGCGATTTCTCTTGGCCACTTTTATTAAGGAATTTTTTCTCCTAAAGTTATAACATGAATAGTTTCTGATATATAGCCGAGAGATCGGCTTATTGGACCACCCGGTACAATTATGTCCATTTTCATGTGTATTACATTTTACGCTTGCTGGACCAAAATTTGACGAAATGCCCCTGATGATGCTGTAGATAGCGAAAGTACTTGGGCAAGATTTGATTATAAACTTGTGCTCGATATTTGCCTTAATTGTCAAAGTTCATTTATTCGAGCATTCAACCTCATATCAATAATTTCTTAAAATAAGAACTTACCAAAAGGCCTATCAGGTACAAATATTTGTTTAAATTATCGTCTAATCTGTCCAAACATTTTTTACAATGATCGATCTGTTGTTCCTGTGTTTTTACTACGGGAGGTAACAATCCATGAATTCCCAGCTGTTGTCTCTCTTCGAAGGTGAATGCCAATCCCTGTAACCAAAATAAAATCGTTTGAACATTTCGTAATAAAAGCAACCAGTATGTTTTATTGATGTGTGTGAAATTCTAAAAATGTCACATTTATCATCGACAACAATTTCAAATGTTAATAAAAATAAACTTTTGGATGTTTGTTTATTTTGTGTTAAATAATTTTATACGTTTATATAATAAATTTTGTAATACACGTTTAATGGATAGGAATTTTTATTACACACTTAAAATTTTTGCACTTAGTGTGTCCTTGATTTGTAAAGTTTTATTTCCTATAATTTGGGAAATCACAATTTTATTCAAAATCATTATACAAATAAAACTAAATTTGTGCCAAAATTGTGTACACTTTTCAAGCGAGATATAAAGAGAGAGAAAGAGAGAAACTAATGTATCGTGATGATGTAGTATTAGAAGGAAATACTGGATTTAAAACAAAAATTGGAACAGTGGAAACTTCTTCTTCTAAGGCTGCCTGTCCGTTCTGAACGTTGGCAATTATTCTGGCTATGGTGACTGTTGGTTGGTGTATGGAATAGCTGTGTTGAGATCTTTCTATACCACGGTCTCAGGTTAGCAAGGTTTATGTTAATACCCCGTTTTTCCCCATTGTCATTTCCTCATAACGCCTTCCAAATGCTTGATTGAATAGTTTGGGTGATATAGTGTACCCTGTCTGACTCCTCGCCGTATCTTAATAGGCTCCGTTTGTTCAACTATTTTAATGGCATGTTGTTGCTTGATCATATATATTGGAAATTAATTCCGTATATCTCTATAGTCTATTCTCCAATTTTGTAAAGAGTTCTTTACTGCCCAATGTTCCACCTTATCGAATGCTTTTTCAAAGTCTGCAAATGCCATATACATTGGGATTTGATATTCGTTGGCCTTTTCAATCATCGTAAGCAGATGGTCGCTTGTACTGAATCCTTTTCTAATAACTTAGTTCGTTAACTATTATTTCTAATAGTTTAGTTAACAGTTTGTACATTCACATTAAGTAGCGTTATGAGCCTATAGTTTTTCAGCCTTTCTATCGCCTTTCTTAAATAGTAATAGTGTTATTGCCTCGTTCCATGTGGTGGATATTTATTTGTGTTCAATATTTTCTCATCTCATTACTATGGAGAAATGAATCAAGATGACTTCTACACTGGTTTGAAGATCAGTTATTCAAGTAAAACCTTCGATAGTTATTATAGACGATGCTTTCAAATTTTACAGTCAAGTTTCATAGTTCTTAAAATAAAAAGTTCGTAAATCATTCCGCAGATTTTCTTTTGTTGAATCTGCTTTTCGTAAACGAATCTGTATTTGGAACTTCTTTTCACGTTCTAATCACATAACTCCTTATATTTTCAAATTTAAATCAACAAAAATCTTCTCAGCGCTGCCTTCAACTAATGATTTTCAAATTGTTGTTGAATATTTTCATCTAACACTTTAATTTCTGGGTAGTAGTCACTTCACGCTCAGATTTTTCTTTATAAAGATCGTATATCTTACAAAAAGTAAGCACATAATAATTTGCTTCACTCTATGATTAAAATTCCAGCTAATTCATCTTCTAAGGCTTTTTGATAGATGCGCTAAACAACAGATTTCCAGAATATACGTTGAAAAATCATGGGTGAGACAATACATCCTTGTCTCAGGATTTTTTTAAATAATTTCTTCTGATACAAGAATTTTAGTGTTAACCTAAGCTGTAAGCTTCCTTTCTCGTACAACTTAACTGTGTAAAATTAACAGTTTTTTGTTACTACGATATATTCATATGTAACATACCTAATCACCGAAAGTAATAGTTAACTTAATTTCACGGAGGTGAAATTCGAGTTAATTAAAATGTTGACACACTTGTCAGCAACAATAGCAAGGATGATTTTTAAAATTATTAGATATTTTTTAGAAGTATAATTAAAGTGGATGATAAGCAGAATTCCACGTTAGGTAACAAATAGAATACCTCTATAGATAACTTAATAATCTTAGAAATCGTACTATCAACATGAGTATGTGAGATTTTTTAAGAGTATGATTTATTAATAAATAACTGATACAATTTTAAGTGGATGAACTATAGTAAAAGAATATATAGGAAAGAATATAAAAATTAAATATTCTGTATATTTAAGTACAGCTACATTCGGCTAACAACATGAACAGGAAAACATACAGAGCAGAGCATATAAACAGGAAACTTATAAGATACGGAACAAATCCACATTATGATTTTAGGTGACCAGAAACTTCTTCATAAAATTCAAACATTTTTTAACATTTGATTTCCGCTTCGGGAAAACCCTTTATCCGTTTAAATTAACCAACTTATGACTTTAATCCAAGATTAAACTTATTTCCTATTGTCAAGTGAGATTTAATAACATGCGATTAGAAAAAGGGTCGTCTAGTAGATGCGAAGAATTTAAAATTCGTCATTAAAAGAATGATCTAGAAGGTGAAGTGCATATGTAAAATCTGTTTTTCTATTATTGAAAGATCTTTTATGTTCTGCTATACGTTTGTTAAAAGTTCTACCAGTTTGACCGATGTAAGTTTTTAGGCAGTCGCCACATTTAAGTTTGTAGACACCACTGTAATAATGCTTTTTATTTTAGCTCTTGTTGTTTTTAATATATTTACCCAAGTTGTTTGTTCCAAAAGCTGGTGTTATTCCTACTTTGAATTTAATAATCAAATATACAAATAACGGTACAGGACTTATAATGGAGCGATTTTAATTCTTCAAAGTTTGTTTGGTTTGTTTTTTTTAAGAAACAAAACATGATTTGAAAAAATGGTATATCTTGATTACTTTATTAGTTATAATCACTTAAACAATTACATTGTTAATAACAGATTCCTGGCCAAAAATTCGGATTATGATGTTGAAAATTCGGATCAAAATACATAAAACTCAGTTGTAAATCTCCCCCCTTTGTCCCTAGCCTATTAAACCATTAAACGGTAGTTTTTTAACTGACTAAAACAATATTTACTATTTGATCTACGCCCTTTGAACCGTTACATCTGGTCGAAAATCTAAATAAATTTGTAAACAATACCTAATTGACTTTTGTATAACGATATCGTTAAAAAAATACCACGATAACGTTTACCACAAATAAAGGAACATTTGAAAGACAACGATCGTGAAAAGTGACACAAGGTCACCTATTCATTTGATCTAAGGTTATTAGCACTATCGGTAAAAGTACAATCTCCTGCGATAATATATTATTTAATTATTATCAACTGTAAAACCATAAGCAATGTATGTATTCAAAATTATTAACGCTTACTATGTGATTATTTAGTGAGGGTAAAAAAATGCTCGAAAGTCTTTTCCATTCGTCTTTATTTCTCGCTCTCTGTTTGATCTCTCCATCTCAGTACAATCACCGAACAACGTACAATGGACCGCAGGAGTGTGACTTCACGACTGTCACATTGACATTATTACTTTCCAAACAAAAGTTGAAATGTCAAATCTCAAGACTTTTTAATTTCTATAAAGTTAACATTTTGCTTCCTCTGCTGCTTTTTCTTGTAAGCATAGTGTTTTTTACGATAATACCATCATAATTCAGAGTTCTATTTCTATGAAATATAGTTTAAAAGTTTAAATAAAGAAATTGTAACCTTACTTTATTGATACATGCATTTTATTGCTATTAGCATAAAACAATGTGCTTTATTATTTATACAACCTTGTAAAATTGTTGTAGTAACTATTAGAATACTTAAATATTGCAATAAGCGGAAAGATTCTATCAAATAAATTAAAAAATAGCCAAAAATACAAATTATCCACACTAAACCAGGTTTGTTTGGAAAGTGATGACGTATGTCAGTAAAATATACGTCATCACTACTGTGGTCCATTATTTCATGATCCAAGTCAACTCAAGTCAAATTTATTGATCACATGCGACGTTATACAAAGTACATGTATGAGACAAGTCAAAAATGTAGAGACTTTAAGATTTATGAGACATAAATCTTAAAATTATATAAATTAATTAAATACGATAAAACATACTTAAAAATTATTTTTAGAATATGGCTCTAGCTCACAAATATATTGATGTACACACCTCCGAAAGTTTGGCTGATGTAAATTCATTCGTATATCTATTGGTAATTTGTTAAAGAAACTTATGGCTGCATAATGTGTGCTACCTTCCAACAAAACAGAACGATGTTGTGGAAGCATAAAGTGATTGTCTCTGAATCTTGTTGAATAAACATGGTTAAATTGAAATTTATTAAATTCATAAATTTTGCTATGCAAATACATTATACACGAAAATATATACAGACCAGGAATTGTCAGAATATTGTTTTGTCTAAAGATGCCTCTACAAGAATCTCTAAATTTCATTTTATACATTATCCTAATAGCTCTTTTCTGAAGTACGAATATCTGCTCTAATTCAGAGGTACAACCCCAGACTTCAATGCCATATTTGGCTATTGAGTAAAAATGGGCAAAGTCTTCGTGCAGTCTGTTTTATCTATTGCTGCTTCTATAGTGGCTTGATGGTTTAATAAATTATTTGACGTGAAAATCATATACTTTGATTTCTCTTCATTCAAAACTAATTTGTTGGATAAGAAATAACTTTTGATGGTGGATAGTATCTGTGAAGTTTTATTTTGCAAATTTTGATCATACGTTCCTGTGACTAGAATGTTGGTATTATCCGCATAACTGATGATGTTAACCCCAATCAATGAATTAGTTATCAAAGCTATATCATTTATAAATAATATAAAAAGTAGAGGACCCAATACACTACTCAGAGGGATACCATAATGGATATCCAATGTGTTTGATTCGTTTACAAGTCCATTAGATGTTATCTTTACTTTTTGTCTTCTATTCTCTAGGTAGGAAGTAAACCATTTTAGAACTATACCACGAATACCAATCCCCTCAAGTCTTATTAGCAACAAATTATGATCCAAAGTGTCAAAAGCCTTTTACA